TTGGTAATGAAGTTGTTACCATGTCGCTCTCGAATATTTTAAAATGTTGAAAACCAAAATAATGATAATGAGCAAATTGACCTTAACGAAAAGTCGAAAAGCAAATCTACGTTCTTTTCCTATTTATTGAAATAAAAATATTGGTGCATTGTATCATACGGCCACCACGTATATTAACACAAACAATTTAGATTTGATTCAATAAATAAAATACAAAACAAATTTTGAACAGATTTTTCTTTCCCACGTAACTATAGTATATGTATGAGTCTATGACCCGACACAAGCAGAATTAGTGGAATTCTACATTTATATCATTTTTAATTATACGAAAAATAAATTAACACTTGTATTGTGTTAATCTCTTTGAAACTTTTTGTATATTGTTCTCTATTCAAAAGATTAAACAAAAAAGCGTCACATTTGTTGTAGTTTTGTTTATTATATCACCATAGTAGAGAAAATATACAATGGGCCTATTTTTTAAATATGATAAGAAAGTATTTTTATTTGCTTTTAACAACTCAAGCCTAACGGAGAAAACAGAGTCTTCCATTGTTTCAAGTCAATGGTAATGGCCAAAGGTATTGGATTGCATTCCAACTTATTAACTTTTTTGTTTGTTAAAGTAATACAACTTATTATTATTATAAAGGGAATTAACTCCATAATATATTTGGCAGAAGCAACAATTCTTCTAGATGAAAATGAATATATGATAACATTTATAACCATTTCATTAACAACTTACAAGTGTATGATAGTAGCCAATTAGTAAAAAAAAGAATTAGATGGCTTGAGATAATCAAACAAATTTCTAGTAGGTCCAAAACTGCCTCTTAAATTGTCCAAAACACTAAATTGGATTAATGAAAAAAGTAATAAACGAGTTTAAATAAATCTTACTAATTTGCATATTTTATTCACATTTGATTATGCTTAGTGCCTTAGTGGCTAATGCCTCCTTGGGCTTTTTAAGACTGCAGACTTACTTTTGTGAGTCTTCACCAA